AACAAGTTTCAATACCTGTCAGGTGGGTTAACTGAAGTGAAACCTATAGTAGTTCCTGTCAAAGGCTTTAGGCTACATTTAACTGTGCATCTTATTGGTCTCACAGCATCTATGTATAAGGACGTGTTCTAATTTTATTGCAAATTGAGTCCAAAATAATGGCTATTGCTGGGGAACATTAAAAGAGAAAGAAAAGAGAAAGGAGTAGGTATCATTGGCATGTAAAATGATGGTAATTATGAGAACCCTAACATATCCTGAAAATAACAGTAATTAGTATGACCTGCTCTGGAGAGAGGTGTGATGACTCGTACGGATGTCTACTCAAAACATCTTTTCATCCTTCTGCCTTCTTTCTTTTTCCATTTTCTTTCTTGATCTGCCCAGATATTTCTCTATTTTGCTGTCAATATATTTCCAGGAAGTCATTACAGCTGACAAAAAAAGTCATCCTCACCCTTCCCCCCCAGCCAATTCCCCTTCTTTTGTAATCTTTCATTGTTTTCTCTCTCAGTCTCCCTCCCCTCTCATTTTCTGCAAGTTATTAGCACTGACAAAACCCATCTCGGCATTTTTCTCAAAGTCATTAGAACTGACAAAACCTCTGCCTCTATTCCTTCTGTAAGTCATTAGGACTGACAGAATCTCTCTATCAAATCGTTTCATGACACAAACTTCAGTGGCTCTTTTGTCCAGCCTACCGTTCAGAGGCCCAGAGCTCTGCAGGCCTAGATTGTCTCTGAGGTAACAAAGCTTAAAAGCCTGGATGTGAAAGCCTTCAGCTGGAGCCCCGACTGTCAGAGGTAACCATTTAACACCAGCAGGGGAGTCACCAATGTGTCACCCAGAGCTTTTTCTACTCAGTGCTTTGAGCTGCTGTGTGCACCAGAGCCGTGATCTAAGAAATGCACTGTTGTCTTTTACACACTGTTAGTATAAAACTCTGTACCATCAGACTTTTATCCCTTTATAAGCTAACAACTGCTAAATCAGGATATTGGTTGCAGATGCCTTTGAGTCAACAACTTGAGTTCGTCTATCTTTTTCAGCCAAGTAAGCAGCAAGTCTCTGTAAAACAATGTCACTGCTGGCCAGTTTGTTCCAGGCAAAAATACCTCATCCACTTCTTATTGGATAATGTAGAGACTTTATACAGATATTAATGTGCATGGGCACATCCTGGTTGCCAGAGGATGTGCCCACGCAGCTCTACCAATCTGCAGATAGTTCATTTGGAGCCACAAGGCATGACTTCAGGATTTGTGTGAAATGTCTTGGCAATTACTTTGTAATGACATGGCATCATACCAAAGATAAGACAAATGACTGAAACTAGCACCACTGACTAACAATAGCCATGTGCTACGTTTCACGATTATTAATATGCAAACTAGGGCTGTGTGATATGACCAAAATCTCATATCCCGATATAAGACATTTATCATCCTGACAACGATATATATCACAAAAATTTTACACTTTCAGCAAATTCTGGGAATCTCGGGAAACTTGAGTTGCGTGAAGTGTTTTCAGCTTGGCGTTGTGTACCTGGAGTCGAGTGTTTTGACCGATGCATGAAACTGAATATTTTTAGATATAAGTTTGTGCCATTTTCTTTGTCAGTATTTATTACACGGTGTGAAAAGCATGAGTCTAAGGTTTATTTTGAGCACCTGATGTCTCTTTTTTTTGCTTCTCATCCATAAACTCTCTCCATACTCTTTTACGTGATTCTTGCGTAGGTGGTAGAAGAGGTTTGCAATGTTTGAGTCTGAGGTGGGGACGGTTTCCTGCATAATTTTAGTCCATGTCAGACTTTTCATAACCAAACCATCAAGACGATGAAAAAAATATTGCAGTAAACAATTTATTTTGCGACACCACGAAACAAACGATAGGGTAATATGAAACAATAGACGTTTTCATATTGTCATCCGATATATATCGCTATATCGAACAGCCCTAACGCAAACTGTCATGACCAGTGATTAGTGGTTATGAGTACTATTCATAGAGAGTTGGAGGTTGCCTGCAATCACAGCATTATATGGTGGTTACAATTTGCACTCTTTTACCCATTATATTACATATATTACAATTTTTGGCGTTGTGCATTTTGGGGTTTGAAAGCCACAGAAATGTTCAGTGTTTTAAAAAAAGCGCATCTCAGGTTTTCTGTCACATATGGGGTCACGAAATCTTTTTGCTTATGCTTTTTGCTTTTTGCTTATCTTTTTCCTTATGATTCTCTTTCTTCAATCCTTTATCACCTTGACTGTTCTTTAGGCGAGGAGATATTTTTCACCATCTTACAATTCTGTGATTACATCGTTTCCCCACCTCAACTGAGCATTTATGGCTCTTGTAACTTTGCAAATGAAGATTTTTTTAAACATATATATGCAAATAAAGAATTAAAATGTATACTTTAATGGATATCCAGTTAATCCATTTTCAAAGAAATAATCAGAAAGGGGTTCATTTCTCATGCTGCTCTTTTTAAAATTCACCTTTTGTTTAAATAACAATAAGTAAAATATTCTAGGAAAAACTTTGGGATCTGGGTAATTGCGTCAAGGATTTCCACCTTGTTTTTCTTGCTACTATCACCCAAACCCCAAATCTTACGTCTAGTTAGGTGCAGGATCGTGTCTGTGTCTATAGAGCTTGTAACTATAAAGCCAAAGTTGGGTGTCTTTCAGCAGGAGGAGCTGAATGAGAGCTTATGGTTCTGTGAGAGATAGGAGATAATACATATTATAATATAAGCTTTGCCTGACAGATGTTTTTTTCACTTTATGATTGAAGGTTTCTCTAATTAGAACAATTAATCAGTTGATTTTTATTGTTTTCTCATAGTGTCTGTATAGCTGTTGATTTTCTTATTTTCCTATGTGAACATTGATTAAATTGCTATTGATTGCTAGCTGCTTCTACCCTATTACAGTCAACACAATTCATTTATATAAGCACTGACAAAAAATGACCAGGTTAGTTAGGACCAGGTTTAAGTGGTGTTGGCAGCCTTCGTAGATGTTTACTATTACCGTATTTTCCGCACTATAAGGCGCACTTAAAAGCCTTTAATTTTCTCCCCCAAAAAAATCGACAGTGCACCTTATAATCTGGTGCGCCTTATCTATGAATTCCGGCTGTGTTTACTGACCTCGAACAGATTTTATGTGGTACACTGCGCTCAAAAATCTGTCAAAAAATGTTTTAGTAGGACTTTGCTAAGCTACGAAGCCGCACCGCTTGATGGATTGTCTGAGCGTTATGGCTACCGTAGTCAGGAGCCTCGCGGCTCAGAGTAATCTGGGTCCAAAACTCTGTCTGCATCAGGTCCCAAACGAACACTGTGTAAATTCTTTCATCTTTAATAAAATGATCTGTGTTTCTGCTTTACTAGGTGTAACAATTAAGTTTAACATTCAGGCATCCATGAAAACAGAATTTATTAAACTTAACAGAATTAGAAGTTAGCAGAAAGTTAGCTTGCTGGTTTCGCTAGTTACCTAAGCATGATATATCATGTTCTGACTAAGAGACTGCTGGAAAAAAATAAAACGTACAGCTCTGCTATCACTTCTAACATGAATGAAGACAGAAAACTACACAATAGTGACGTTTGTAGGGTTACTGAAGTTAGGTTAGGCTAGATGGTATATAATGCTGTGCTGGTGATCGCTAGCGACACAGCTATGTTAGCATACCAAAGCATAACACAGTGAACCTGGAGAATGAACGTTAACTTTTTTCCACTTGATAAAAGTTCCCGATGTTTTTTTTTGACAAATGCAATCGCATGAAAAATTGCTGTAAATGGACCAAACTTTAGTAGGGGAGAACAACTGAGATAATCCAGCCACAGTATGAGGTTAGTTATTAATGTAAGATAAGATAAACTTTATTAATCCCACAAATGGAAAATTTGTTTTGTTACAGCAGAAAGTGGACAGTGCAAAGTTACATAGCAAAAAAACACTGGAACAACATATACTGTTGTTCCAGTGTTTATAGAGCAGCTACCAGAGAATTCAACATTAATGAATCAATGGTACCTAAGTAGAGGAAGCAAGAGGAATGAGTTGAGTAAAGTTTGACTTATCTGGCTGTTTTGTTTTGTTTAACGTTCTTTATTATCCGGTGTGCCTTATGTATGAAAACAGACCCGTTTGTCAACAGTGCGCCTTATAATCCCGTGTGCCTTATGGTCCGAAAAATACAGTAATACAGTCAGTTACTACAATTAGTGGCACAGCACAAGATGTAATTGGTCAGAGATCCAATTAAAACTACATTCTGAGACAAGTGCAGTAACTTACCATATCCAAAGTATCCAGAGTTATAAAAAAAATACCAACTACAGTTGGTTTAAAGGGGAAAGTAACCCAAAATTATTGAAAATCAGACTTTGAACCTTTTCTCTCAACATTTTCTTCTGTAAATTTGGCCATTTTAACATGGTTGTCTATGGGAATTTACTCACCAAGGCCCTCTAGCGGCCAACCTCCCATTGGCTTAATTGTTTATCCCCAGGGGGTGGCACTTATGTGACAAACATTTAAACACAACTTTAAAAAGCTGCTTATTTGTTATTGTTTTTTAATCATTGTTAATCGTTGTTACTGATGGCCTACTGCTGGCACCTGTCAAATTTTTATGCAAAAAAATTACAGGAACAAAATGCAATTTTGTTCCTGTAATTGTCCACATTACCACTTCCCTCTGGATGAAGTGAAACAATAGGTCCTCCATTTCTACAATTTTGTTGTACATGCACAAGGACACTAAAGGACTATATTATTCTATTCCATAAAGGGGTAAAGATTAAAATTTATTTTTCCAGTGCTTCACTTCAAAGCAGTCCTGCGCATGCATATGGCCATTTATCTTTTGTGCTTTTAACTACAGCAATAATGCAGATTCACCGACCGTGTCAGAGCAAACAAAGACACATTTTTTAGAAAGAAAGAAAAAGAAAATCAGGCTTATCTTACCTATCGATTCCATCCTGGGAGTAATAAACACCGTAGGTTTGAACAGCTCCTCCGGTCTCCTCTGGGGGGCGCCAGCTGAGTCGGACAAATCGGCTGGATACTAGGACAGGGACCAGGTCGCGGGGAGCAGAGGGGAGGGCAACGCCTGGGCTGGGGGACACTGGTGGGGGATCAGAGGAGGAGGAGTAAGTCAAAGGGGTGCCAGAAGGAGCAGGAGAAGGGCGGGGAAGAGTAGGTGGTGTGAAGGAAGGTAGATTCTGAGTGGGCGTGGGCTCTGTTAGCAGTTCATCCAGGGAAGGGAGGGGAAAGCAAAGGAAAGGAGAAGCAGGGAAAAGGATGGGGGACGACGGGGAGGGAGGTGGAGGGGAGGTGCGGGAGGTGAGCAAAGGAGACAGAGCAAAGAAAAAAAACAACAAAAAGAGCAAAGGACAGATGAGATGAGCAGATAAGGAACGGAAAAGACGTGGAAGAGACAAGAAGGAAGAAAAGAAGGAAGAAGAGTGGTAAAGAAGATCACAGCCAAGAAGAAAAAGCAGCAGAGCATCTGAAGAGCTTAGTTATCAATCAGATATCAAACAGATATCAGTCATCTGAATGTTAACACGGTTTTAATGCCATGACATTAAAACACACATGGTATATTAATTTTATGTGAAAATGATGCTTTAAAGTTCCTACTCTTCTCACAATGTTCAGTTCAGTTCTCAGAAGATGAAAACAAATCTAAATTGCTATAAATGTGTTTACCCAGTTTTCCAAAATACTCCAAATTACTGCAAGGAAACAAAACACACTGAAAAAAATGTAAATTTTTCTGACACGACCTTTACATACTCAGCACCTACAGTGTTTTTGAGGCTCTTTGTTTCACATGCCTAAATGGCCAGGAAGGATACAGCTAATAATGCAGTGACTATTAACAGCACACGTTGCTGAGCAAATCTAGCACCAGGGCTAATACAAAGACTTAAACTCCACTTAATTTTAACCATTTACTAACTGACTAAGCAATTTAAGTATAGGTCTAAAACATGTCTAAATGGTACATAGGCATAATCAAGAGAGACAATAGCCTGAATAGCATTAAAATTCAAATTTTAGCTCTTTTTAAAAAACCAAAGATTTTTGTACTTTGTAACTCCTAAATGCAGTTGATGATGCTCCCTAACTAAAAAGATACAGTGGGATGCAAAAGTTTGGGCAACCTTGTTAGTCATTATTTTCCTGTATGTATTGTTGGTTGTTACAATAAAAAACATGTCAGTTAAATATTAGGGGTGCAACAATACTCTTATCGATATTGAACCGTTCGATACAGTGCTTTTGGTTCGGTATGCATATGTATCGAACAACACAAAACTTTTAATTTATTTTATCAACTTTTCTTCTGACGATGCTGTCTGTGTTGAGCGCTCAGTGGATCTGCGTTTGACTACTCCGCCCAGGTTGCACTGTTGAGTGCAGATCCACTGAGCGCAGTGCAAGCTAGCAAGACAGAAGCTAAGCTCATTGCAACATGGCAACTGGCTCAACGCTACCCGAAATCGAACCTCCCCACCCTCATTCAGATCTGGCGTTTGGAACTATCTTGGTTTTCATGTGAAGCATGACCCCGTTGGTA